CCCATACCACCGAGCATAGTCACTTCCAGACTACCTCTTGTGGCATGACGCGTGCACCTTAAGGGCTGTGCACAACACCTTTCACAATTAGAATGCATACCAAATGGAACATATCATTATATATTATATTTTATTATATGACACATTATGACATATTTGTTGTTTTGCTTTTTTTTTTTGTTCAGAACATCTAAATGTCGGATATGTGCCAAAACTTGGGAGCCCAACTGTCGGGGTGTTCAGCACTCCTTTTAGTGGCCAAGTTAGCAATCGCCCACCCCATTGTGAGACATGGCGATGTGATCCTCAGTGGGGGAATATTTCATGAGAACTAACCAAAGAATGGTCCTCAGTCCTCAGTTGTGTATTTTTGTCGCTTTGGAGGATGAAAACCATGAGAGGTGGTCCTTAGTATAGTATATATATATATATTAATATGTGCTCGTAAATATTTTGCTTCCAAAGAACCACATTGAGGGCTGCTGCGTTTGTCGCAGTGGACTCAAAGATTTCGAGTCAATCAAGGCAAGTTGCACGCAGCATCAAGTCGATTCTGAACAAGCTAACCTTGGAAAAGAGACTCGGCTGTGATGGGAGGGATCGGTGTAGAGTTCCGAAGTTGGACACATGTTCAGCTCAGCTGGGACAAATCAAAGATTTGACCCTAAAATGAGATACAGCACAGGAAGGGTGGCTGTGAGTAGGCTGAGTGCTTCGAATAGGACCCGTTCGCAGCATCCTGAATGCTCCGCCGGTCAGTGTGAACATGCGTGAACACCCTCCAGTCCACACAGGCACCGGTTTACTGGTTGTGTTGAGGGGGCCACCAATCTTCTGCCCAAACCACCCCGTGGGTGTCCTGCAGTGCCAGGTTTAGCAGCCTGTCTCAGCAGTTGCTGACCTGCAGCTCGATGGGAAGGAGGGTGAGCTCCTTCGAGTGATGCTGTAAACTGCTTTGGGCCATGAATGTATGAGAAGATGGGGCCCAAACATTCCATGTATGGGAACCGAACATTAGCCTAGATTTGCCCTTTCAAAAAATTGTCCTACTTCCGTGAAAGTAGACAAACATTTGGACATACGGTGGCGGTCCTACCAGAGATGTTCCTGGCAATGTTTTTGAACATTCTTGAATCAGTTGGACTCTGATAGGAGAATTACGTTTCAGCATGATCCAGTTTCTTCAAAGTTTCTCCTGAAAGAAACTCTTGAGCGAGCTTTAGACCGACAGTGCCCAAACCAATCAGTGCATCAAGGTTACTCACATCAAAAAACATTATGAAGAACCAAGTTTCATGTCTTAGCTCCTGGAGGCTGGGTTGGCACGAGACCTCCAGGATTTGAAGCAAGGCAGACCTGTATAGTTACCCAGGAAGACTTTGGCCAACATGTACACTTCAGTCGATCTATTTTCAGCCGGGCAAGTCATGTGAGTCGGAAGGAGCTCCAAAGGCTCCATGCCTTGTGATGAACAGAAAGTGGAAAGAGTCATTCGGCAGTGGATCAAAACCTTGAGTTGACCTCCTTGGTAGTCTATGTTTGTTCAATTTCGGTGGTCTACCAGGGTCCCCAGGTTTTGATCCACTGCCATCTGAGCGAAGAACGACCCAAGAGGAGTGGTAGACTAGGAGTCTTAGTGAGTCAGTGACTGTTCTCAGGTTCAGGAGTGCACCACATGCAATGCCATGGCCAGCATGACCTCAAAAGTGTTTGGAAACATATTCTACACTTGGAGTCCTGTTACGGTGAAGGCCTTTACACGCGCAATTCAATCGAGAACAACATGTAACATATGACGCGAGTATCTGTGAATTCACGGGTGCCACCTCCCAGAACGGTGTTGGTCTAGATCTAGAGGTGTATCAGATGTCCATAGAGACACACACACACACTTGTCATTCAGCCGAGAGAAGATACAGATACATGCAGTCATAGACCGAAAGCACAATCCCCTCTCGCCCTTTACAAGAATCAGCATGCTGTTCTGCCATGGCGGCATCATTGGCGTTGTTTCAACATGTTTTAACAGAACCCTAAAGAAGCTGCCCAATTCGTGGGAGATGTTGATTTTTTGGCCCCAGACAGCTGGCTTAGATTTGTTTTGTTGCTGTGCAGGTTTGAGCTTTAGTGGAAGATATCATCAGTATTGGACTCTAGCCTGCTTTGCTGAAATGTTGGGTACCACAGGTTGACTCCTTCCCGATGCACAAACGACTGAACAAGTTGCCCGATTGCTGCAGTGTTCCTGTGGGTTATCCACTAAGGTTCTCCAGAACTATAGCTTGCCCATCCCCTGTTGGGTTCCCCCCGAAACAGAATAAAACAATAGTTATATTATATACATATACACATAATAATATTAATCGATATATATATATACCATATATAATATATGATATGCTCATCTACTGAGTGGATGGCCCAGACGAGGACTACCTCATGTGTTTGCCCCAAATAGAGTTGGAAACTCCAACTCCGAGCGCCTCGGACGACGCTTTGGGCGTGGCCTCGGCTCCCACCTCCTCGCCGAGACACCAAGGCGGCATCTCCTCCGCAGAGCATTTGGTGGTGCTGATCCACGAGGCCGATCTCCGAAGACGCCGGCAGGTTGTGCGAAGCGTTCAGAACGGATCAGCAACGGTGGATGAACGGGTGGGAACGGAGGATTCGAACCAGGGAACTTCAGCGAAGTGAACCCGAACACGGGATTGATTGGTGCCGATTGAACCCGAACTTGGTGGCAGATGAACAGACAGCAATGCCTAAGCTCTAGGCCGGCCTAGGGCCGGCCAAGTGAGAAGCTATCGATGCTGTGTCCTGATGTATCCTGTATCCTGCTTGACTTCTGGAGCTGCTATGTGTTTTCCGCACCTGTTTCTATAGAGATCAGCCTCACTTACTTAACTCCCGAATGTCCATGTTAGGCACACCTCCAGCCCATGTACCGATCCCCAAACCCAAGGAGACACCCCCAGCTGACCCACCACTGGTCAGCTTTGCTCCGTTGGTCACAGCTCCAGTACTTGGGGATCAATGAACCGGCTTTGCAACTAAGAGTAGTGTGTTATATGTGTGTTGACACTGTGAACCAAACAAAACGCTGGGCAAGTGTTCTGGACGGTGGTGGCGAGGTCTTCGAAAAGGCCACCACGCAGCACCATTTCATCGATGCCTGGCGGATAAGAACGAGACCGGGTGGGAGAAGCTGCCGGAGCCTCTCTCGAGGGTCACTGGAACGGAGGTGGTGTTGCCTCGTGTAGACTCGATTGAGTCTCACGTTGGCTTGGAGCGTGATCCGCGCTTGCATTCATGTCCAAGGGTTTGTGGAAGGATGAGGTGGGAGTTTCTTTAGGGATCCATGGGATCAACTGGTTGCATTGGTGTCACATTCCCTGAAATACTCATGGAAGTGGAAAAGCACCTGGAAAATGGTCATCCAAGGGGGCATTTGTCCACTTCCATGATCGTTCCAAGGAGTGTATATACTATACGCAAGTTTTGGCAGTTTGGGGTGTTATAGGCTAAGGTTAGGCTTGTTTGAGTCTTGACAAAACCTCTATATTGTGAGGTTGATTGATTCGCTGGAACAAAGAGGAATAAAACCAAATTCATCCAATTCCAGCCGTGACAGTTCGCAGTCACCTGGCCCTGGCCAAAGAGGTTTGACAATCAGATGATCCCACTCCAGGACATGTATGCAGACCTTTGCGTGCTTCTTCATGAACATTTCACCGCCAAGCCATTGGAGGATGGAAAGAAATTGACCTTCAAGAGGTTGCGCCTTGGATCAGCAGGGACGGCCTGGAGCATGGATCCTATGATCGATTCTAATGAAACAGTCATCTCATGAACTGCCGAATGTTGCACGAAATGGAGGATCAATGGTTGCTTGCACGAAACAGGATCACCAGGGCCTGTACAAATGAACATGCATGCTAAACATATACAGTCTTTGATGCCTTCCTTCCACAGTAGGTGATGCTAGGGAAGAGACGGTGATCAACCGCCATGCACCGTTTACCTCAACATCTTCACATCTTCAAGCACCTGATGAACTTCCCAGTGGTGTTTCTTAAGCGTCACATGAACCACTCGCTCCCCATATAAAACAGCGTTTGGGGCCCCACAAAAGTGATGCACATTCCAACCACGATTTTGGAGTAGATAGAAACCAAGCCAGCAAACATGACCAGTTCCCTATTGGTTGTGGAATTTCCTCATATTCTAAAACTAAGATGATGACTCTAAATTTGTATATAGAAAGTAATCTATGGGGGCGCTCTTCAGGTGTTTCACGATGTCACCCTTTCTTCGTGTCCACTCCTTTGGGTCCTTCTGCCGCTTTCTTCGACTCCTTTCCTTGAGGCTTTTGGACGAATGCCAGATCCTTGAAGTGATTCAGAAGGTTTTCGGAGTTCCCCATGACCCTCATTGGAGTTGGATGCTGCATGAACTTGGAGTGTTTTTGATTTGGAATAAGTTCAAGGTTCTGTTCTGATGCCAACTCGTTTGACACCCTGTTACACTTTTTTGTAAGCAACTTTCCCAAGTATCGAGTTTGACGTACGGAGCTCTCCAATACCCAGTGGGCCAGTGGGTCAACGCCCCAGTTTAAACACCGTTGCTTCAGCAAGAACGGGAGCTGGAAGCTTGAAAAGGCCGTGAAAAAAAAAAGAAAACATTAACACAGGGTGAAAGGCCGTGAAATACATGTGAAAATAAGGTCTTGGAAGTTGGGAGGTGAAATGCGTCCTCTACGCTAACCCGCCAGTTTAACCTGTCCTTTGGACTTATTGCTGGGATGTATAGTCCGGAAGCTGTTACAACGAGTCATGGACTTTCCCAACTCGTCCAGTTTCCACCAGGAGCTCCTTCGAGCGCTTGTTGACCCCACCCAGCAATCTGGAGCAACTCCCCACGGAAGAGAAGACAGCAGCCGAAATGAGCCACTTGGGAACAGCAGAAATTCTCCATATGACTCCATATGGCATGGATGTGTATAGTTAATAGGGAGATTCCCCACCAATTGGTATTGTACATTATTTTACTTAGATGTTTCCTTCCAAAAAGTGTGTGTCGGACAGCCTTGCTTGGTCCGAGAAGTGCGGTACGCGGTCATTGACATGTCCGCAGTCATGCACGGAGCTTCCTCCAAGCCTCCGCGCCCAAAAAAGAACGCTGAACATCGAAACAATTGGTCGGAGCTGACCATCTCCCGAAAGAGGATCATATGCGGGCCAAACATCGATTCCTGTTCGACATGAAGGCACAGTTACCTTCTGGAAGCTGGGACCTGGTTCAATGGAGAACGGTGTGTCCTTCCAGAGAAATGACGTTCTCACAGGTTGTTACAGCAACCAAAGTGTGTTTGCACCGATCTTGGAACATGCTGAAGCGCAACAGGCAGGACAATGACAATGTGAGAATTATAATGAGAAGTAGTATGCAAAGCACTAAGATTGACAGATTGTTGACACAGTTTCCTCTTCAGGGATCTTCAGAGCAGACATCCACATGAAACATGTACCTCAACATGAAGGGTCAACGAAGGGGGCTCAGATGCCACTGACTTTTCACCATTGTGTTCCCTTTGCTATTGATCGAACAAGTCATTTTCATGTCAGCCCATATGGATCCAGTCAGCCTTGACCAATACAAGCTGCAAAGCCTGCACTTGTTGTGTTCCGAAGGCTACAAGACTCACATGTTGGGCAACATCAAGCTGGTGGGTGGCCTGCTGGCGCGAGGCATGTTGGCCAGCAAGGTCCGGGCAATGAAAAGAGACCGGATTCACAGCTGGCCAGATGGATGGATCCTTCATGTTTGTCATCGAATGTCGTCGAGTCGTCGTGGTCGTGGTTGCTGCAGCTGCTGTTTTTTTTTGTTTTTGTGTTCCGTCTTGGGCATGTCGTTGGCCTTGGCTTGAGCATGTTGACATCATCTCCTTCGACCCAAACAGGTTGAACCTGTTGATCTCCTTTTGATCACATCCTAAAAACCGGGTGTAGATGCATTCTGGTGAAGTATTGTGCTTGGATGTGGACCTCTTGACCCCTTGCGGATCGAACAAGTCAAGTCTTTGCAGGCCACCAATAGCAACTTTCGGAAAGCTCAGAACCCCAGATGGGTGTTTTTGCATCCATAGCGTGAACATTTGCCCTTGCAACTTCAAAACGAGTCTGTCCTTCTTCGTCTCATTGTTGCATTATACCCATCCCTCAAACCTTCCACGTTTGACTGGTTTCTAGACGAAGATTGAGCGAGAAAACCCCTCTTTTGGCGAATTGGCACGTGCTAGCTGCTAGTTCTAGTTAATGTTTAATGTGTTTGAGTTTTTTCGTGAAATGGTGACATAAACATGTTCAAGTGGCATATGACCTTCGTGAAGCGGCACAAAGTAGCCCTCAACGACAATTTGTGTTGCAACGATTTTAAGTGTTTGTGTTGAAGACAATGGAGAATTGAAACGACACTTTTTCTTGAACGGCACTTCTTCCACAAAACTACAAGAAAAACTGTAGTGTAGTGTCACCAAGCGGCACTCGTTTATACAAACTGGTGGACCGGGGTATAAATATGATCATTGCCACACTTAACGTAGCTGTTGTGATCATATCTTTTCCATAGCCTGCCAGCATAGTTGTACTTCGTAAAAATGATGACAAACAAACCATTGGTGAGTCGATCTTGATCATCAGAGTCACATGGGACACATAAAGACCCTTCACCAAGACTCCGTTGCATCGGGGTGCAAGCCACCAAGACTTGGGCCGAAACCCTGTGAAAGGCAGGGCTGCCGCCCGTGACATCCTGCACCGTGTAGGTGGGAATCGCTATTTTGGAGGAGCTCTTGTCGAATCCAACACCTGAGGCTTTCCAGCCGCACAACAAAGACGCGATTTCACCGGCGCGTCGTTGGCGGGATTCATGTCTAGTCGCGCTTCATGTCCTTAGCGCCGGCTTTTCAAGAGAGAGGATGGCTCCAGCCTGTTCGACTGCGTTCAATGTGTTGGTGAAAGGAAAGGGGTCGATGTTCAGACCGTCTCGGGTCGATGGTGAGAGCTGTTCTTCCTCAACAGAGGGGTCGATAGGCGTCGGCTTCGTAGCGTCCTTGCTCCTAGTAGTAAGGCCAGGAGCCCCGTTCGTCGCGTCCTTGCCCCGAAAGGATAACGTGGATAACCCTTTTTCTCTACAAACCGGTGGTCCACGGGCTCTTGATGATTCCAGGCGTTCCAGGGAGTGTGTTTCTGCAAGATGTTCCGCAATTTCGTCTCTTGGGGTTGTTTATGAATGATTCTTCATGACAAGAAAGCATCATTGAACCTAAAGCCACTCCAACCAATGTGGGATTTGGGTGTGACCCTGTCACCATGTTACCTTCGACGTTCGGACACTGTTGTTGCAGGATCTTGCCCGAGGTCCATGTGCCCCAAAGAAGTCTACCTTCCGAACTTCATTCCTATTCCAGGTTCGACCGATGGCGATTGATTTGCTGATATTTGATATTTGTGGTGTCTTTTTGGTTGACGTCGACTTGTCTTAAGACATCAATAAACTCCCATGAGTGGCTGACTGACGAATCGGTGGTCTCTCTGGCGTCAAGTCCGTTTTCTCAGCATGTTTTTTTGGGTCAGGGTCACCAAGAAGGTGGGCCTCAAAAACATGGAGAATCATACCAGAACCCTCCAAGGGGTGCCCTCCGAGGCCTTGGAGTCGGTGGCCGCGCTGCTGACGGCGCTGGGAAGTAGCTGTGACCGTCCTGAATGGCCTCAGCACGTGGCCTTGCGCCTTGGTGGACTTCCGTTGGTGTTCAAACCGGAAGAGATGAGGGAAAAGCACTCCAAATCACCAACAAAAACATACAAAAATAACATCAAATTCTGCAACTGCATTTGAACATATTTAAACAACCAAAAGGACCAAAGGATTTATGAGTTATTGAATATATATTCAAACATGGTGTTTGGGGCCCTTGTGTTGGTGCTACTGCTTTGGGTATGTTTGAATATGTTTTGAGTTCTTTCAGGGTGTTGGCATGGTTTGGTTTGGTGAGGGAGCAATCTGCAAGGACAAAAACGTCGGTGAGTATCCTTGTCATACCGTATGGGTTTACTTTCCACCTGAGTCATGATCTAAAGATGTGTGAAGGCCAGGGTATCCCGGTATAACAAGCGCCTTTATTCAGGTCTCATTTGATTCATGATTCATGACAAACTGGGACCCATCCGACAGAATGGGACCCATTCCACACTGTTTTGCACCTTTCCCACCCACCCACTCACCACCCTCCAAGATTGGTGTTTGCGCGTGTTTTGCTGGAAACCACCAGCGAGGTCCCAAAACCCGACAGCTGGAGGGTCTTGAAAAACATTGACGTCCGGAGTCCCACTGGACGCATATAGGTGAATTCCTGGAGGATCACAGCAAGTATCGCAGGATTACGGATTGTCCTCCACCAAATGTGCCACATCTCAGCAGTTGTGAACATGATTAGTCGACATCAACATCTTCAGAGTCCACTTCCAAACCGTCCACCATTGAGCTTTAACTTGTTCTACAGCAACAACTCCTGCGTTTTTTGGAATTCGCCTCGATCCCTCGATCCATCGCTCAAGGACCGCGATCTTCCAGGACGTGGCCCTCATCGTGAAAGGCAACAGCTGCCCCACGCGCGAGCGTTGCTTGTTGAAGGACCGGGCGGTCGGCATCGGACCGGACGGACCGGACGCAGAGATTCGAGGTGTTGGTGGTTGGTTGGGTCTTAAAGAGGTGTATTTGTGGAAAAAAGTCTGGTGTCCCATGTGAGACAACATCAACAATGGACTCCACAGACAGCTTGGTGCAGAGGTCAGCCCAGCTTTTTGACCTTAGGTCCTCCATTAAGGATGTTTTCTCGCCCGAATCCGTCGGAGTTCGTGCGAGGATCTTCTGGACTTGCGCCGGAACGGCTGGGTGGACCGTCGCCCCAAGAAGATGGAGAGGGCTATGACCTTGAAGCAGGCGCACGGGCGCGCTCAGGGCGTCGTTTGGCCGAAGGAACACCGGCGAACCATGGCGAACCTTTGGAAGACAGGAACACATAGACTACTGACTCGTACCACTGACCTTGTAAGTCCCACAAGGGAGGTTTAAGCATTTATCATATCACTTATTGATTGACAGGAGCCATCTCTCAATCATTGGTGACACGGACTTCTCGCTCTCTTCTCGTTTTGAACTTGTATAATCTACAATACTGTAACAATAATAACTAACATTATATACTAATCATTTGTATTACAAACGACACGTCGAAAGATCCTGAATGTACCACCAGTCTATATGGTAGTTATCATGGTGCTTTGCTCGTGCGTCTTTTTCGTGGTGCCTAAGTGTCAAGCGGAACACCCTAAGACCCTCGGGATGGAAGCAACCTGAACATTTATGAACCTTTTGTTCTTTGGGAAGCGTCCGTCTCCTCTCTTCCAACGACCGCCCTTCGGTGGCTTTTGGCGCCTTTAAGCTGCTTTCAGCAGCAGCTTTGGCGCCGCAGGTCGCGGAGAACAAAGAGTTGCCCAAGCCGCAGCTGCGAAAGGTCGCCGTGGTGGCCTTTGATCAGGTGGCAAAGGGGTCGGAACAGGTGTGAAAGGGGGCCGGACGTTGGAAACTGATGGTGAGGACGGGGCACGGGGTGGGTGAAAATGGGGAGTCCACCAAGGAATGTGAGGACTTTGGGAGAAGACATGCCGTAAACATCCGAAGACCAAGATGAAGCCATTCAGGACCACCTTCCCGCCATCATTTGGCATTGTGGGTTTCCGACCTTCCCTCAGTCGGGACCACCATCTTCTACATGCACTCTCAAGCGGCCATACTCCGCAACTGTTTATGTTTGGCCTGCCTTGTGTTTTGGTGGGGAAAGCTGTTGGAAGGACTTCCAACGCCAATGCCATCACCTGCAGACCGTTGTAAAATGCAGACCGTTGTAAAAAGCCCCGGCAAAGACCTTGTGCATGGTTTCTTGTTGTAGAACTACTGTGCAGAATTTGTCCATCAGCACAAATGGTGATCTTGCTTCAATTAATCGCAGTTGCCATCTGAATGTTTTCTTCCCCAGACCGGCCCCAGACGCTTGGGGTCCCTTAAATTTAGACTATCCACGTACTTGATGATCTTCGTTTCAGACTCTGCTCAGAGTCCAGCACTCTCCACATCTCTCCGGCGAGGAGAAGTTCCGCGCGGCGGCACAAAGGCTGCTGCGAGAGCTGCAAACGGCTCAGTTGAACGAGGTCTTCGACGGCTTCAAAGCCTTGGGAATGCCGCCGGCCACTGGGTGACATCGGCTGAGACAAAATCGACATGCTGAACCGGGGATGGGTCTAAACTAGTGTCTAAACTCTAAACCTGGAGCAACCTGGTCAAAGGGATTGGTTTTTGGACACAGCATGCCTTATAGGTTGCACTGGTCACCGCAGTCATCCCCGAGACTGCGGATCCATGGATTGAAGGCTCAGGTTTTCTTGATTTGACTAGGGACGCGTGGGGATGAGCCAAAACGAACTTCCAACCCTTAGAGGGCATCTACGAACTTCAAAACAAACTTCATTTCGGAACTGCTCATGGCTGCCACGATTGTAAAAAAATGGGTTGTCGGTTGTTGTGACATCACGAGTTCATGGTATTCCATGGTATTCCTCCTGTTAGTCCCCCTGTTTTATTTCGTTTCGGAATTGCGATCGGGAGGTCTTCGTGGATGTTAGATTCTCCGTGTCGGCCGACCTGACCGAACTTCGTGGCGAAAAAACAACGTTCCCCGAGGCGTCCAAGCAACCACACGAGCTTGCTGAACTCTTGTGCCTGGTGGTGCAGGAGGGGTGGAACATGGTGGAACCAGTGGATTGGAGAATCGGAGTGAATCTGGCGCCATATCATATTTATATATATATATAGAGTCTCTCCGAGTCCACATGGCAGTGGATTTCACGTTTGGACAGGATTTCAGGGTCTTCCAGGCCTATGTGCCACTTCCAGTGCACCCAAGCTGGTTTGGGGCTTCAAGGTCCCAAGCTGGGTTTTGGAGCTGCTTTGTTTGCAACTCAAGCCGTAGGGACGTTTGGCGATGGTGTGGGTCAAACCATGTCAAACCATTATATAATAACTGCTGGATGTGACTCGATTTGTGATTGACAACAAGACTGCACGGGTGGGGCAGGATCTCTCAAGAGATCTCAAAGAAAAAGAGATCATTCAAATGTTCCAGACAAGGAGTGGTATATTTGTGTGTTGTAGGTGGACAGATTCACATCCCATATTGAAAGGTTGAGAATCCTTTTACATTGATATCAAAGGATGCCCAGACCGCAGTCAAGCCGGGAAAACAAGCGCAGACGATGTGCCCGGCTTGACCGGGCAGCTGCCGGAGATCGAACGCACAGGAGAAGGCCGCCCTTCGAGACCTGGGCTTCCAGCTCTTGTCGCAGATCGCAGGCACAGCAAAGCATGTGGAAGGAAGCTGGGGATGAGACTGTGCGGGGAGCATAACAAATGCGAAAGCAAAATCCGACAGTATGCCTACCAAATTAGATAGATATTGCTTGGGATGGACTTCCTCCATTTTATGTCCTTTCTTCTTTCAAGGAGTGCCTGATGGAAGCCCAGCCTCAGTAGTAAAGGTGTTTTTGTGTGTTTTTTTCAGGGGGCGCTGTTTGATGATGCTTGATGGATCCAGGTGGCACTCTCCAAAAAAGAAGCTCACACGCACGGTGTGGTTGTTTGGCTCCCTTTCAGAAAACCTAAGGTTGGGCAAACAACACAATCTTGGACTACCCGGGACTACCCCATGTTCCCAGCATGTGCTCGTATGTGCTTGTCCACCGGGTCAAACCTCGTTCCGGCTCCTTCAATCGTGGAAGCTACCATCACGACCCGAGCGACCCGCATCACTCAAGGCCACCGTCCCCCGTGTCAACATACATTGAACGAGACATAACAAGACCTTTGTGTGATTGCATGGGCTTCAACTGTTGGATTGTTTAAAAACTATTTACACCACAGCATGATATTGCTCAGAAAGACACAACTCCGTGCGTGTTGACGCTCAGGAGAATGGCATTCAGAGGCCTTGGCGCAAGGGGTGACTTGGGATCTTCGCACGTGTTGACGCCGATCAGCATATGTCGCTGTGTCGATGCCGTGTGTGTATTGCATGAGTATGATGTGATTTGGCACATGTGTGACCACCGGCCAACAAAGAGATATGGATTCCGTGATATGAGCAAATCCTTTAGCACCTGACGCCTGCGTCTTTGAAAGTAAAGCAAATGAGATACGAGGCAAGTATTTGATTTGTGGCATCAGTGCTCCAGTTCTACGGTATGGAGTGTCAAGCCACTCATACACTTGTTGGGCCACTGTCGGCAATTTCCTGGACACATCGGCCACTGCTCTAGGAACTTTGCACACACGGTGGTGTACTGCTGTCAGCTCCCATGTGGCACCTTTTGTACCGGTTTTTGCCTAGGGCAAGGACTTGAAGTTTCAGAAGACCTCAGGTTTGCAGCAGGTCGCAGCTTAGCAGGAGCAGAAATCCTGACACCAATTCTGCATGCCAGACTCCGCCGCAACATGATGGATCGAGAGTGCTGAACGATTCGGATGCTGAGTCTATGATAGCTCATCATCAGTCTATGATCGATTCACTTGAACTTGCATCAGAATCATAGGAAAACACCTGCTGGGAATCCTAAACACTATCTCCTCCAGCATCTTCAAGAGTCATCATCACCTCTCTAACATCCGCAACAAACCGTCTCTTCCAAGCCGCGTCGGTGTTTCTTCCACCACCTGGCTGCTGGAAATGGCGACGAGTACCAATGGCTTCAAGGTACTCCTCATGGGCCGGGCCGGTGCAGGAAAGACGTCCATGAAGTCCATCATTTTCGCCAACTACCACTCCAGGCAAGTCGAGACTGGTTGCGACGGCGATCTCATCGCATGTCCGATCGCGCGTCTTCGCCCATCACGAGTGCCAGGTTACCCCCGGTGGGGGGCGGTGTTTCTTTTTCCACCGCGCAGGGCGGTGCACGGCGGACGGGCGGACGGTGCTGGCACAATCGAAACCGAACCCGAAACGATCACTGCGAATTGAAGGTTCCCTTTTGAGACGGATCATGGCGTGGGTGATTTGTTTTGGGGTGTTTGGCTCAACGATCATAAAGGATCAAGGACTGCTTTCGTGGAAACCTTACTGGGAATGAGCCCAGGGCCATCGAGGGCCGGAGGCACCATTTAAAAGAGATGACGCAAACGATCAAAGAAGCCACGCAAACGCTCATCTTCTTGGCACCACTTGGGTGTCTTTATTCAATACACCTTTGAAATCTCTATATATAGGTTTCGGATTTGAATTGGGTGCTTCATGGTCGCTCAAAAAGTCGACTGATTTTGGTAGGTGTTCCACGCACCAGGTAGGTACAGTACGGTATGAATATGTTTGGTTTTGCAGGAGAACGGACGAATCCGCCGACTTCTCGAGTTTCCCCCACCGCTTTGAATTCAGCTTTTGGATGCTTTTGGGCCATACACTTCCCCCCTCGTGGTGCCGCTCGCTGGGCGAAGAAACAAACTCTTCCGTGAAAGCCAGCGAATGAGTAACCCAACCCTTTCTGTGCCAAGCACCGACTCATCTGACATGATGCTGTCGGTTGAGTTGTCCGCGACACACCAGCCCAACAACCTGACTGGTGACTGGTGCTTCGTATACGGAATGAGGGCTGGATCCAAAAAGGAAATCTCAATGGGGCTCCATTCCCTAGCACAGTGAAGCACCCGTCTTAAAAATGGCTTCAAGATGCTTCAAGCAAGAACTCCGTAAGTCCCTTTCGTTCCGCAGGGACACCAAGATGCTGCAGCCGACCAACCACGTCGCTGAGCTGAAAGGTTCAACAGTATATCAACATATCACGCAAAGAGTCGGTCTCCAACATAGATAATAGATGTTCTTTTGTGATTTATTTTTGTGTGTATATATTGTAAACGTGGACCAGTGCATCAAACGTGGACCAGCAGTACCTTCTTTGGGAGTGGTAGCAGATGGATTAAGCTAACAACTAATAGAACATTTGCTATATATTGCATGATTTGCTATTGTTCTCGTCCAAGCTCTACGCATATCTTCCCATTGACCATTTGTTACACAATCTGATACTTTAATGCCAATGAGCATGTTTGCTTCTAAGAAATGCATCTTTGATGCTGTCTTTGCTTTCTTCTGTGACGCTTCCAACTCTCTCCGAGGTGGAGCACAACTCTCTCCGCTTCCTGGGGAACCTCCGACTGAACCTCTGGGACTGCGGAGGCGATTCGAGTTTCGACTAGGGCTCCATTTGGATGGTCTTTAGGGGGTGTCTACTATAGAGCATTATACTCTTTAATCATTAGTCACCTCTCAATGGGTTCAAACATGTTCATTCACCTTCCCTTTGCAGTTCCTTAATGATACTTCCTGCAAAAGTGTTTGCCTCCTTGATTCTCGATATGCTGTTCAGCATGGTTGCTGTTCCCAGCAACAATCGGCACCCCAAAGCCATTTGTTTCGTCGAAGTGTCACTTACCAAGACTACAGTTGATGCGTGCAACCAAACAATGCGGTCAGCAATTTGCTTGGAGGATGCGGTCAGCAATAAGGATGATTTGGGTTTCTGCTTTTTGAAAGGCCAAGATCAATTCATGGAGAACTATTTCGAGTCGCAGCGCGAGAACATCTTTCAGCACTGCGAGGCCCATCAGCTGCCTGACGTGACCAGGATTGGTGGTTTTTCAAAATGCAGTGGTTTTAGAGTAGATGGCACAGACTCCAAGATGTCCTCTAGATGGGGGTCCATATAAACCCACCAAACTTGGGGATTGTGCCATCTAAATCTACTCTTAAAGCACTGTAATACTTGTAGCGTCTCTTTCACCTATGCTCTTTTGTGGAAGAGCAGGGAAGAACTAACATGCTTCCATCAAGACGATAAGTTCGAGCACTCCTCATCTAGGTCGATCACTGGACTGGCTGAGGTTTCATTAGACCCTCATTACCATTAGTCAGAAAGTTTTTCAGAGTGCGGTCAAAGTTTTGCTGATTTCCTGGCAGGTGCTGATTTACGTCCTGGTCGCAGCTCGTGGCTTGTCGTCTTGACTTGGTCACTCTGAATGGATGACTCTGACGTAGAAACCCCTCTCAGACAACCAGCGGATGGACATTGTATGACATTGATGACATTGTTTTTGGGGCAAGCCGGGAAGCCGTTAATTTGTGATATATTACATATTGTGACCAATTCTCAACAGGGGTTTCTTTGTTTGGTCCATCATGTCGCATGCGTTCTTTACCAACCAGGGTTCTTTCGGAAGCGTGGAACCGCGTGGCCGGTCGGTCAACTACTTTGCAGTCGACCGGAGGACTAAGACTTACAGTTCGACCGGAAGCTCGACGCGCCCGCCTAGGGGACAAGAATCCGGGCAACGATGAGAGGAAGAAGGACGTCGAGTATTTCAAGGATGCCATAGAATCACTCACGAAGCATTCGCCCAATGCGACCACCTTTGTCTTAATTCACAAGTTGGACACCTGGATTGGGCAAGTTTCTTTTTTGTGCCTTTTTTTTGTGTGTGTGTGTGTGTCGTTGTTTTGATTTCCGGGGATGAAAAGAATATCTACAAACGTACACACCTGTGGATGTACAGTATTATTTTCACAGAATTTTTAGTTTTTTGGGGGGGCCGGAGTGCAGAGCCATTGACGCGGCCTGAAATTATTGGAACTTGGGCGAAGCATTTGGCTTTGAATGGCAGGAGCTACAGGCCTAGAATCACGTTCGGTCGTTGGTAGCCCAGTTGATGGTACCCTCAAAATCATATAAATGGCCTCCGGGAAAGGACGTGTTCACCATCTAGGCTATTCTGAACAAACATTTCAACAAACCTCGTTGGATTTCCCTATGTTCTTTCTCCCCATATATAAATATCAATGATGATGTGCAAGACAATTGCCGGGATCACTCTTCAACCAAAAGACAATGTGAGTCGTCCATGTTTCGGCTATTCTCAGAAACTCCTCATGTAGGCTGTTGAGTCGAGTCACTCACCCCCCATAGGGGGGATTGATTGGGGGGGTTATGAATCAACAGTCTACATGATTAAAACTTCTTTATGTTGATCGCTGTGGTGACGTATATGGTGACTGTCATCTACCCTCGGAGTTGGGTTCTTTGGGATTCACCAGCCTTACCCTCGGAGGTGAGCCCCGCCGGGGTGGGCCGCTACGAGTCGCGGTGTCGGACCGCGGCACTAAGGACTTGGTGCATGAGAGACCTGGTGAAACAGAGGAGGGTAGTGAGCCGGTGCTTCCCTGGAACGCCGGCTTACCCCAATAAGGATACTGTACATAGGTTGAGCATCAACCAGCATAGATTAGGTAGCCAAGAAAATTGAGTGCATGGTGTATTCCTATTTCTTGTGGTGTTTTCCTTTTTCCATGGCTTCTGAGGTCATGCGCGGCACACGGCACTGGGGGTCCCGCCGTCGGTTCATCCCGTCGGGCGTCCTTGCTCCGTTCGTAGCAATGCAAGGAGCGGCCCTAGTAGTGTCCTTCCTCCGTTCGTAGCGATGCCCTTTGTTACTAGTAGCTTAGTCCAGTGGGTGTCAACGTCCAGCGACCGATGGATGTTGATGAAGAGGAGATCCCTCGCAACCGAAAGCAACCGATGGAACTCGACAATGTTGCACCTTATTCCAAGGCTTTAGACACACCACAATCTTTTGCGAGTTCCACTGGGCCTCTCTGAAAACCATCCCAACATATGCGAGTTGCATTGCGTCTCAAGGCATTCATGAAGAGGATCCGGCTTTTGATGAGGCATTCTCAAGAGACCCCGACATTCCACATATGTAGGGACAAGATGCAGGCTACAACTCAACAATTCCACTCACCATATATCAATGGTCTCAACATGTCCAAATAGACGGAACAACACTGGGTGTTTCACCTCTTCTTTGGACGGTACATGAGTGGGTCAACTGCATTAGACATGGCCTTTCAACAGACTTGAAGGAAGAATCCTTGCGGCACCTGTAGCACAGGGATAACAGCTCTTTTTTCAGGGGTTCCAGATGAAG